CTGAACTTGGCACCTTGAGCTGAGCTGCCGCCTGGATGGCTCAGTGGATAGAGTGTGCGCTCTTAACAACAAGGCTGCTGGTTCAACTCCCACATGGGATGGTGGCTACATCCACCTGCAACTAAGATTGAACACAGCACCTTGAGCTTAGAGGCCATGAGCTGCTGACGGGCAGCCAGATGGCGACTGGTGCCCTCCACAATGAAGATTGAAGAACAACAACTTGGCTGGCCCCCTTCCCCAATTCCCCAACACTGTTCCCCTCCCCCAATCCTCTAATAAAATCTTAAAAACAAACAAACAAACAAACAAAAACTGGGCATGTAAAGTAATTTAATGTGGCTACTATGGAAATTAGTTTCCGTGCCTTCTTTTCAGGTTGCTATTTGTTGTTATTGTTTCTCTGTGTTTTGGGGTTTTTCTTGACTAAATCTCTAGTGTGTATTCTTTGTCATATGCAGCTACTTTATTCTCTGCTTGGTTAGCTTAATGATCAGCATAGACAGAAGTTTCCTTTAATGTCTTGATCCACTAAGTTTCCCACTCTGTGTGAAGGGGCTCTTAGTGTACGTTGGAGTATAACTTTAGTGCTCTGCCAATTTACAACTCTGATATTGCCTTCATTGCCTGCCTGAGCAGAGCCTCAAGCCAGAGGTGAGAGACTGAGGCTCTCTCAGGTCTTTCCTGGACATGTACACAGCCCTGCACCATGTATGTGCCTTCTAGATCCCCAGGAATATGCTGGTGCTTTAGACATCTTATTGCCTAGATTTTTTTTTTTAAAGTTTTTATGTCAGCTTCTTGTTTGCTCCAAACTGGTATCACTACCTCAGGTAGCTGTGATGCTGAACAATTGCTGCTGAGTGTTTTTCACAAGCACTGTGGAGATATGGCTTTTCTCAATAAGCAAGCTCTGTATCAGGTCCAATAAAGACAAGTCGTATGTACAAACTTTCCCAGGGAGATGCCAGACAGCTCAAATAGAGACAATTCTCTAAGAGTGATCATTTGGGAAGCATTAAACCTGTTTGCCTCCTCCAGTGGCTGCTTCTTTTCATAGGTACTGTGCAAGGCTGATGGTTTTTTTGTTTTTGTTTTTTTTAAAGATTTTATTGGGGAATTGGGGAAGGAGAACAGTGTTGGGGAATTGGGGAAGGGGAACAGCCAAGTTGCTGTCCTTCAACCTTAGTTGTGGAGGGCGCAGCTAGCTCAGCTCCAAGTCCAGTTGCCATCCGGCCACCCGTCGGCAGCTTGCAACCACTCAGCTCAAGAGGCCGTGTTCAATCGTAGTTGCGGGTGAGCGTAGTTCACCATCCCATGCGGGAGTCAAACCAGCAACCTAGTTGTTAGGACCATGTGCTCTTACCAGCTGAGCCATCCTGCTGCCTGTTGGCAGTTCAGCTCGGACGCAGCTCACTGGCCCATGTGGGAATCGAATTGGTCATTCTGTTGCTCAGAGCTCATGCTCTTAACCAACTGAGCCACTCGGCCGGCCCGGCTGATGGTTTTTTTAAGGGTACTATGGACTGAGGAGATAGGTAAGTTAAAATGTTACTAACATTGCTGTTCTTAGCAAGGTTTATATGTTTTTCTTGAATAAACTTTTCTTGGGTTGTTACAAGCCTTTCATTAATTTCCATAATTCTGAAAGGCCAATTTATCCCTGTGTTCTTGTCATTTTAATGAAGGAGTAGATTTTCAGAGGTCCTTAATCCACCATTCCAGTAGTGCTTCTTCCACTGGATTTTTAGAAAGGGTTTCTCGGGGCCAGGGTGGAGTAAAATAAAAAAATAAAAAAATAAAAAAAGAAATTCTAGCATTGAAGTGGCTGGGAGCTGTGGTGAGTGACTCCATTTGTCTCTGCAGGTTTAGCATGGGCATCGGCCAAGCAGCATTTGATTGCTTCGTGTTTGTCTCCTCCCACCTCCTGCCCTTTATCCTTCATTTGCTCACCAGTCCTTCTTTCTCTCTCCCTTCTCCGCCCTCCCCTCCTTCCTGTCAACAAACATTTATTGACGCTGACCTGAGTGCCTGGGTGTCCAGCCCCAGCTCCTGCCCTGAGGAGCCCATGCTTTGGTGGAGAAGAAAGACAAGTATTCAGAGCAGACCACCACAACCAGGTGCAGGGAGTGCAGGGACAGAGGGAGGTGTTGGGGCTGGGGGAAGCAGGAGGGAGGCAGGGGAGCCAGGGAAGAGCGATGGATGCTCTTGGGGAAATGCGGGGTCTGGAAAGAGAAAGGATCGTGCCCAAAATCCCTAGAAAAAGGACCCCAGAGTGCAAGAGCAGTGCTGGGCTTCCCCAGTTGAGAAATGGGCCAGTGGGGGTGGGAGGAGAAATCCATTCCATTATGATAGAGACACATAAACACTACAGAGCCGTGGAGGCATTTTCTAGGCAAAGGCTCCTTCTGGAGCTAGAGAGGACCCTTTCCACAGGCAGGCAGGCTCAGCTATCTGCAGGTCTGCAGCAGCAGCAGCAGCAGCAGGAAGGCATCTCAGCCAGATACTGTTCCATTGAGCAAAAAAGAGCCTTTCTCTCTGGGACACAGGAAAAGGCCTGGTTTTACAAGGGAAGCCGCCAAAGCCAGGATGTGCATGTGTGTGAAGCTATCTAGAAATAAACACCAGGCCCAGTCAAAGTAAATCAGAGAGGAACATCTGCTCTGTGCTGCTCACACCATTCTCTGACAGGCAGAGAATCAGGACACTGCATTGAAAGGGGAGGAGGTGCTGCCCACCCTGTGCCCAGCAGCTGACCTGAGACAAGACACTTTCCCCCTTGGAACCTCAGTTTCCTTATCTGCAAAATGGGGTGAATACCATGTTTATCTTGCACGGCTCTGTGAGGATCACATGAGATGAAGAACTTGAAAGGATTCATCACAGGGTCAGGGGCCCAGAAAATTCTTGTCTTTCTTTGACTTTAAGATTGTTGTAAACTGGAATCATAATTCTAATAGGTTTTTGAGTAAGTTGAGTAATATTATACTTTGTTGTAAAAAAGTCACTATGTGTTCCTCATCTCCCTCCAGAATGCACATCAGGAGCTCACAATAAAAGACAAATAAAATGTTTTATGGGGATAGAAACGAAAACTGAGTGATGAAGTGTGTATTTGGCAGGCTGGTGGTGTGTGTGTGCGCGCGTGCGTGCGTGTGCGTGCGTGTGTGTGTGTGTGTGTGTGTGTGTGTGTGTGTAGTGATTACACATAAAATCTAGAGTAAAGGAAGCCACAGCAATCAGACATAAAACAGCCTTCAGCTTCTGGAAGTCAAAGCACACAGGGAACCATGATGGCATTTCCTTCCATTGCACTCCAGCAAGTTTATCTGGAGGGCCTATACAGAAGGAACTAGGTGATGTAAGCATGCAGTACAATAAGGGGCAGGAAGCCCATGCCCAGGGTCAGGGAAAAGATTCTGAGGCCGGGGGTCCTCTTGGGGGTGGGCCCCTCTGGCATCACCACCATGCCCTCCTTGTGAAGCTGCTTAGAGGCTGAGCATGTGTTCATTCATTCATTCATTCATTCACCATTTGTGCATTTACATTCCTGGGGCCTGCTGTGTGCCAGGCTCTGTGCTGGGGGTTGGAGAGTTGGGATGATAGACCCCAGCCAGAGGAGTCAAAAGAGGTGTTTTGGAGGAGATGCTTGAGCTACACTTAAAGGACGAAGAGTAATGAACTTGCAGTAAGAGTTCAGATACAGGAGATGACATTCTGGGCAGGAGTGCAGGCTTGGGACAAGAGGGCCTCAGACACCCTAGGTGAGGCTAGAGGTGGGGACACAGTGGAAGAACTGCAGGAAACATGGTGGTGAGGATGGAGAAGGGGGCATGGGTCTGAGATGTACTGAGGAGGAGACTGACCAGGGCTTGGTGTTGGAGTGGGGAGGGAAGGACCTGGGATGGAGCCCAGGTGTCTGCATAGGGAAGTGGGTGGCTGGGGGTCTCCTCCCTGCAATGGAGAGCTGGGGGAGAGCAGGCTGGGGGAAGTGCTGGGTGCAGTGGGGCCATGTCCAAACTCTGGACCCAGAGGAGACAACTTGGCTGGAGTCAGGGAGGGGGGTGTTGTCAGTGTCATGGGGGGCTGAAGCCACAGGGGTGGGAGAAAAGAGAGAAGAGGGCCAAGGGCAGGTTCATTTAAGAGGCAAGTGAGGTCTTATAGAAAAGGCAAAAAGAAGGGGGTCAGGGGTGCTGTAAGAAATGCAGGCTAGAGTTGAATTGGGAATACGGGGTGGGGGGGGCAGGGTGACCAACAGTGAGGGTCAAGGAAGATAGTGACAGAAAAGCAACTGCTGGCATGACCACCAGGAAGCCAGTGGTAACTGTGGCCAAGATCGTGTCAGTGGAGTGACAGTAAAAGGAGCTGGGCGGGGCTGGGATGAGTGGAAGCTGAGCTGGAAGAGCCAGGGGAAGGGCGGGGGTGTGGATGCCTCTGAGGAAAGCTTCTGTGTGCATGGGGCATGGGGGTGTGCAGAGCGAGTGCATTCTGGGTGAAATGAAGACGGCAGTATAAGTGAGTCTGCAGGTTGTCTGGAAGGAAGGTGAAGGAGTTTTCTCCTGGTGCGTCTGCCAAGGGAAGGACAAGCCACATCTGGGGAGGAACGGGGATACATAGGAGAACCGTTGCATTATGTTGAAGGACCCATGGCAGGGACGTGGGCTGGTAGAATCATCAGTTCCCACAAAAAGAGGAGGCTGTTTCAGAGTGGGAGACTAGGGACTGAAGTTTCTGAGGATGACAATGAGATTCGGGGGGGTGCCGAGGGCATAAAGGGGACAGTCACTGGAACTGTGACGTCAAGAAGCCAAGAAAAGACAGTATGGGGCACTGTGGCGTCCAGGAATAGTGGCTGGAATTGGAAAAGAGGGGAATATCTGGCCCAGGACAAAGGGTCCTGAATAATGGGGTGGTACGGGGACTGGCGCTTCCAGCCAGGTCCCTGGCCACGAGCAGACTTCCAGGCCTAGATTTAAGAAATAGGAAAACTTGGGACTCACCGGGATCGCCTCTTCTTCCAGGCTTGCCACGCCGTCCAGGGGGACCTAGATAGGAAAACAAGGACAGACTCGTTAAGAAGGGAAGCCAGTGGGCTTGGGTACAGCCTGACTGCCACTGGCCCACCCACCCACCCCGCAACAGCATCCTGGGGGCAGCCTGCCCACCATCATGCTGGCTGGCCGGTAGAGAGGAGTGGGGAGAAACCGTCTGCTGCCTCCCCTGCCCTTGCTCCTCTGGGCTCTCCCCTGTTGGCTACACTCTCACCCCTCAATCACTCTTTCAGTTATTAAATACCTGTTCATTTATCCATTCACAATCCTTCCCCAATCAAAAAGATTTGTTATTTGGAAACTCCTGAGGTAGAATAGTCTGTAGCTGAGGAACGTCAAAGTTATCAGAAATAAATATAAGACTGAGGGTGGGAGTTATCTTATGAAAGCCCTGATCAATGCTTTTTAATATCCACTAAAATAAAACAGCAGAGACAACACACCATATGAAGACACTATCATGGCATTGCAAATGCCTAAGCTCACTAACAGGCTCTATCCTATCCATCTGCTGTCCTTCCTTTGTTCGCTAGAACCTTCAGCGCTGACGTCGCCCACAGCTCGAGGGAGATGCTTATACATTTCTCATGATTTATTGCAGATAATGTGAACACCAATGCAGATTCTTTTCAGTATCCAGTCCTCCATCCACACGTTTTGGGCCTTTCTGAATTGATGATGGGGGCCATCCTGCCTCTGCCTTTTCTCCCTCTGCCCATGTCAGTCCCCATGACTCAAAGGAGAGGACACACTGACCAGCACACTGCCTCAGTCAGGAGTCCGGGCCCAGCGCACAGCCCACCTGGCCTGGGAGAGGATGGTTTCTCCTGGAGCTCGCAGCACACATCCCTGATGCCCCTGGGCCTTCCGTTTGCACTTCTGCCTGCCTCGTTTTCACTCCCTCTTAGTAGAGCTATGCCCTATTCTTCCTTCTGTTTTCTCAGGCGCCAGAGGAAAGGTGCAGAAGTGAAGACTGCAATTCAAATGGCACTTTATACCTGCTTTCTCTATCCTGCCCACCTACTGCACGCCAGGCTCTGGGCTGTGGCTGCATTACAAGGCACTGTCCTTTCCTGGAAGTCAGCCTTAACCCG